AGATTGGTTTGGTTTATTTTTTTTACGGCATATCAACCTCAATGGGTTATTTAATACCAAGAACATTTTTAGGATAGATTCGTATAAATAGAATATGTATTCTTGGGTTTAGATTGGTTTGGTTTATTTTGTTTTACGGCATATCAAGCATGGGTTATTTAATGCTGACAAAATTTTTTATTGCTGGTAATATTTTGTTTTGTCAAAAATCTGTTTCTGGTAATATTTTTTTCTTCAAAATTGTATTGCTGGTAATAATTTTTTTTTTGGTAATAGTTAACTATTTGCCCATAGCTGGGACCCTAAGAAGGTGCTACATTCCTGGGTCAGGGTGGATCTGGGAACACCTGCAATTAAGAGGTGGTTCCACGCTCCTCAAAACCTCTTGATCAGAGGCCTTGCTGCTGGACGCAGTTTATCGTCTTACCCAGGCCATGGATGTAGTTTAACATCTTACCCAGGACCCACAAGATATTGTTACGGTTTCTGTAACAAGTCAGTTTTTTTTAAGTGAGTGGCTGTTACTTTATTAGATCCAAAACCTCCAGGTTAAATGGGTTGTGCAGTAGTTGTTTTAATTCAGAATTGTTCTTCTCCTAGACCAATTGCCACACAAGGATATAGAATCCAGTCTTTCCAGCTATTTACCCATAGCTGGGGGGAGAAGATGATGTTTCATATCTTTCCCAAGTGTACTAGCACGTAAGTGAATGTAATGGATCCAAGTGGAATTTAAACTTGGCTCTCCGATTCCTCAATTGAAGCAGTTATCCATTACTCCACCATGCTTCCTAATTTAACAATTTATCAACTCCTTATTAGTCATTTAATGTTGAAATTTTTATGAACTTTAGTAATTTTTTTTTCCCTCAAAAATGTAGTTCCCGTAATTTTTTATAATGTATTTTTATATTTTCATGCTTGGCCCCAGTTTGGGGGTTAACTATTTTGCCCCTAGCTGGGACCCTAACAGATGCTACCACTCTAGGTCAGGATGGACCTTGGAACAACAGCATTTAGGAAGTGGTCCCATGCTCCTCAGAACTTTCCAATCAGTGGCTATGCTGCAGGATGTAGTTTATTATCATACCCATAACAAATGTTAGTTCGTGATTCTCCTGACATAGTAATTGTGAGTTCAATTCTTGGGTTGGGCAGCATGTGTTTTGACTAGATGGAAACAGGCAAGCAGCAGCTGAACAGTGCTAAAAAAATAAATATAAACTACACAATATATCCCTAGACATGAGCACAGGAACAAGAACAATCTAACCCCATCGATTAAATAAAGGGTTCCTTTGGAATTCACTGTAGGTTACTCAGAACAATATACACCTGAAGAACCCTGGAGAGCACAAATAGCTGAAACAGTGTCATAACAACAAAGATAGGACAATATAAATATATACTGTAAATATAACTATCATCCCAGAAATTAATTCCTTATAGGTTATCCAGATCAATACACACCTGAGGAAGGCCGGAAGGTATAACAGCCGAAACTTTGTGATAACAACAACAAAGATGAGGACAATAGTCCAATATAAATACTGTAAATAATGATAACTCCTCATCCTAGAAATTCAGACAGAAATGAAAAATGCTTTTTCTCATCCCAAATAATCATTGAGGAAATTTTTAAAAAGATGTTATTGTCATCATCGTCACCTGACTCCACAACTTCAATTAATAATAATTTTGCTCCTGCTCTTGACATAAACTCTCCCTATATCAATATCCTCCTGAAAATTCCATAGAGATGACCATATTGTATTTATTACTATATATATATATATATATATATATATATATATATATATATATATAAAATATATATTTTTATTTATTTAAAAATATGATTCAACTAATATTAAGAGGTTTCATGTTTCAAAACAAGAGCGAAAACTTCAATATAATTATTTTAATTAAATTGAATTAAAGTGCTCTGTTCCATCTTCAAGCGAAATTTTTTTTGAATAACTTATTCCTGAAATTTACGTGTTTTAATAGTATATTTATAATTGAAATCAAAATTTCCATGGTAACAGCCAGGGCGGATTGTTTAAACTAGGCAGAGGTGTGTTGGGTGTTAATAATACGTATCAGTATAAAGTTACTTTCATAGATGTCAAGTCAGGGTAAGGTGGGGGTGTCCAAATTTGAAACGGAAGATGTTTCCGCCTAGTCTGGTTTATGTGTCTATAGAGATTTATTTATTTTTTTTATTCCTTTATGAAAGGGATTTGTGCATATAAAAACTGCCGTAACATTTGTTTTTTGACGACTTCATAAAGGGTTATCTTTTTTTGTAGGGTATTTAAACTATATATTTGGGCAATGGATTATAAAAGTTATTAAATTGTATGCTTGTTTTCAGCTAATTATTCAGTGCATAAATTTGATGATGTCGGCAAAAAATCGTTAACTCATGTCTATTGTTTAATAGATTTTTATTATTTAGAAACTTAATAATGTGCAGTTTCTCATGGAGGCACAAAGGGCATGGGTCATCCCAAGCTTTACAAGTTCTAGTCCTATTTATAATTTTTCATTTTACAATTATATATAATATATATATATATATATATAATATATATATATATATATATATATATATATATATATATATATATATATATATAATATATATATATATATATATATATATATATATATATATATATATATATATATACATATATATATATATATATAATATATAATATATATATAATATATATATATATAATATTTATATATAAATATATATATAAAATATATAAATATATATATTATATTTAATTTCATCTTTTTAAGCTAAAAGTGCTTTTAATTTAATTTTATTTTTGCAAAAATTAAATTAGGTTTTAGCTTCATCTTTGAAATGCATTTTAATTTAATTTGCAAAAAAAAATTAGTTTTTAAAATAAACTATTTTAAATCAATTAACCATATTTTAAATCAATATTAATGCTCTGTAAATTTACATTGAGCACTATTTTGTAAAAATAAAATATCTATAAGAACACCGGATTTTATATCTTACTGTTCTTTCTTTTTTATTTATATATAATATATATATATATATATATATATATATATATATATATATATATATATATATATATATATATTATATCTTTCCTTTCCAAATTTTCTCCAAAAATTGTTTGGGTTGGTCAAAAATTTGTTTGGTTTATTTAAGTAAATTTTCTACTTAAGCAGAGGGACTTTTTAGCCAACTTAATACATATAGGACAAGTTAGTAATTCATATCAATATTGTCATATTGAGGTGTCTGTTGTAAGACTGTGTAGCATAAAAAAACTATATATATATATATATATATATATATATATATATATATATATGTATATCTTTTCTTTCAACATTTTCACAAAAATTGTATTGGGTTGGTCAAAAATTTGTTAGCTTTAGTAAGTAAATTTTCTACTTAACAAGCAAAAGAAATTTTTTTAGCCAACTCAGTACATATTGGACTAGCTAGGAATTCATATCAGAATTGTGGTATCAGTGTGTCTGTTGTAAGAGTGTGTAGTGTAAAATAAATGTTTTGGTGAATGGCAATGTATTTGAGCAGTTGTGGTCAGTCAACATAAAAATGCTAGCTCACCTAAACAAATCTACATCAAGTGACATTTTTTTTTTTACCCAAAGACGGAAGAGAATTAGATTAAATGATCCCACCAACAATTGAGACCGCATTCCAGTTTCTCTAAGTCAATATACTTTTATTTCCTTTTCTCCTGCAGATCGTAACATTTACTAAAAAGTATTAACTTTTGCAGTGAGCAGACATTTGGCATTCCTGGAACTTTGCCCAATGGACATGAGATGTATCTAGTCCAAAAGTAAACAGATTTTCAAAACCAGTCTTATAATGTCCTAATTGCAAGTATTTTTCAAGTTACAATTGTTTGAATTTAACCAAACTCACACATGTTTAAACATTTATTTTAGATGATCAGGTCTGCATAGTTGCTTCTTTTTTTTTCTGCACCTTTTTTTGAGCAAAGACATTGGAATCTTGTTGAAATGGATCTTATAAATGACAACTTTATGTTCAACATGCAAGAAGAAAGTTCCTCTTTGAGAACAATCTCCTCCAGAACTGCTACTTTGTGGGCACAGAGTCCCACACATGTCTGTCCCTGAATATTATGATTTTAATTTCTTCAAGACAATTGTTATCCATTACTAGATTTACTTACTACCTTATTCACATTTATTCATATCACATATATCATTACCTTTTTAACACTAATCCTCTTTGATTGACTCTCAAGTTGTGTATATATATATATATATATATATATATATATATATATATATATACATACATATATACACACAATTCAGTGCATATAATTTAATGGGAAAGGCAGTAAAGCCACTAAGACACAAGGGGTTACTAAGTGTGAAAGAATAAGAAAAAAGAGAAAGCTTTTTAAGAGTGAGAACAATAGAAGAGTAATCAAGAAGACAGTAGATAATGGTTGACATTGTATGTAAGTTTATGAAGATCAAAGTTGACTGGAAAGCATGGAGCTGGAAGTACTTTCTGGCCATCAACAGGTTTCCATACTTTTGGCCAGTATGATATATCAGTTGATTATTGTGTTATTTTGTCCCTGTGGTGCCACTTGTAGTTCATTAAATAATGAAAAAAAAATAATGTATGAAAAGCAGTATGAACCCACTATGATAACCAAATATCGAAACCATTTGACATTGAATATAATAGGCTCCAAAAATACTGGTGTCTTTCAAGATGGTGGTGTAGTGGATATAAGTGTGTTTATATAGTTTACTGTCATCTGCTGGTCAGGAATTGTCATACCCACTAAAACAATGGACACTTGTTGATCACGAGAAGGTACTTGGCTGAAATGTTGTGTCTATAATAACATCTATGTCAACAAAAATGAGAATGATGTTTTGAATTAATTATATTGACAATTACTCATCTCAGAAGTGAAATGCTTGAGTATCACTTTGTGCATAGAAAGGCTGTGTTTACAAAGTAAGGTGTGCAAAAGTCGATTTTTGTGGATGTATTTAAATATAAAATAACCTTACTCGAAATATTTGCAAAAAAGGATATGTTTGATATAGAAGCAGTTCAGTAACCTTAGTAATTATCATTAATAACAATTTATATTAAAAAAGTAATGTTCTACACACACACACACTACAGACAAAAAAGGTGGGGACCACCCTGCATTTCATAAACAAAAATCACCTTAAAAAAAGATTTTTTTTATTTTAATGTAAAAGATAGAATTTCACCATTTGATTTTGCAAAAACACATTTTAAGTATAATTGGAAAAGAAATAACCTTTTAAGATGACAATGTAAAAAAAAAAACACTCTTCTAAATTATGTCAAAGAAACTTTGAAAAAAAAAAAAAAAAAAAAAAACAAAATTTTGGTAATCATGACTTGGCCACCTCTTTCCCATTGAATTATATACACTGAATTGGATAGAAGAATTCAAAGAGAATAGCCAAAGAGTCAGTATGATCTTTTTCAATGCTGGAAGAATGATTGCGAAAGTCTCCTATCTACTTTTTTTTTTTTTAAAACTGTTGAAAAGAATGCCAAGAATTTGTAAAGCAATCATTAAGACAGGTGGTGGTTTTATTGGTGAAAAAAAATATGATGCTGTTGTATAATTTTTTATAGTTTAGTGCTTAATTTTATCAAAATGAAAACACTGTGTATGTAATATATATATATATATATATATATATATATATATATATGTGTGTGTGTGTGTGTGTGTGTGTTTTTTAAACAATAAAAAATATTAAAAAAATTTAAATTTTTCAGATACTTGGTTCTATATGTCTAATATTCTTTTTTGTTAGTTTTTTTGTATGGGGTGAAATGATTAAAAAACAAATTTAAATGCAATGTCAATCATTATCTACTGTCTTCTTGATTACTCTTCTATTGTTCTCACTTCTTAATAATGTTTCTCTTTTTTCTTATTCTTTCAAACTCAGTAAGTCCTTGTTTTTACTGCCTTGTATGGGGTGACATGATTTAAAAATAAGTACAAGTATTAATTCTTTTGGCATCTCAACTTCAATTTTTTTTATCCAAGTTATAGACCATCATCAGGTGTTAAGTATTTGGCTGATATGGAATACCTGTTGATTACTGTTACCTTGTCCAGAGATTGAACAGTTGATGACAGTAACACATGGAAAACAACTTCCTATATTCACTATGCAACCATCCTAAAGGATATCAGTGGTGTATTTTTGGAGCCATTATATTCGACGTTATTTGGTTTTGACATTTGGCTATCATGGCGAGTTCATATCGTGTTTCATAATTTAGATATTCACTTCTGAAATGCGTAATTGTCCATATTCTTGTATTTAAAACTGTTCACATCTTGGTTGATATAGATGTTATTATAGACACAACATTTCGACCAAGTGCCCTCTGTTCATCATCAGGTGTCCAAACTCAGGACCTTACTGCTAACTCCTCACTTCGTTGGACCAAAAGAGAGGATAGATAATATAAACCCTGTACTTCCCTTTAAAATTTCACTAGCACAGACCTCTCGTTCTCATCTTGTTTGACATAGATGTTATAGAGATAACGTTTCTGTAGCATCATTTCTATTGCGAAATCTAGGAATATGTTTTCTTGGGGAAATTAGAAATGTATATTTGTTTTCTCAGAAAAATAAATAATATTGTCTTTGGACAGAAAATAAAAGTTTACTGCAGATATTTGGAAACATTTAAATAAAGTCTAAAAGGTTTAAATATTTTTTTCATTGTGGAAAATGGGAATACTACTTTAGAAATGAAAATAAGGAACATTTCATTTAGTAAGGAAAACATTTTCATTTATCAAGGAAAAAAATGAAGGAGACATAGATCTATCTCAGTTTATTCATATCTTTCTATCTATCTGTGTCTGTCCCAGTCTCTTCATATCTAACTATCTATCTATCTATCTATCTATATTAGCCTGTTTATATCTGTTTTAGTCTCTTCCTATCTGTCTTCCCCAGTCTCTTCCTATCTATCAGCCCATACCTCTATTAGTCTGTTATTTTCTCTCTTAATCTATCTATCAATCAGCAGTTTATTTTATATCTATCTATCTACCAGCAGTTCGTTTTATATCTATCAGCCCGTAACCTCATTCAATCAGTTGCTTTCTCTCTCTTAATCTGTTCATGCCTGCTTCTCTGCCTGCTTACCTATCTATCTATCTATCTATATGCAGTTCATTTTATATCTATCTATCTATCTATAAGCCCGTACCTCTATCACTCTATTGCTTTTAATCTGTTCATACCTGCCTGCCTATCTATCTATCTCTCTATCTATCATCAGTTCATTTTATATCTATCTATGTATCTATCAGCTGGTAACCTCATTCAATCAGTTGCTTTCTCTCTCTTAATCTGTTCATGCCTGCTTCTCTGCCTGCTTGCCTATCTATCTATCTATATATCAGCCCATACCTCTATCAGTCTGTTATTTTCTCTCTCTTACTCTGTTCATGCCTGCCTGCATATCTATCTATCTATCAGCAGTTTATTTTATATCTATCTATCTATCCATCTATCTAAGGACCTTATTGCTAACTCCTCACCTTGTTGGATCACAGTATAGCGTTGATAATGTAAACATTGTAATTCACTTTAGAACTTCCTTAGCACATTTGAGGGCTATTCCATATTGGAAATTAGAAATCTTTTTTTGTTTTCTCAGAAAAAATTGTCTTTGGGTGGAAAATAAAAACTGACTGTGGAAATTTGGAAATGTTTGAATAAAATCTAATGTGTTTAATTTTTTTTTTTTTTTTTTAAATCAAAGAAAATAGGAATATTAATTTAGAAATGAAAATAAGTAACATTTCATTTATTAAGGAAAATATTTTCATTTATCGGGAAAAGAATGAATAAGACCTAGATCAGTCTATCTCAGTTTATTCATATCTTTCTATCTCAGCCTGTTTATATGTATCTATCTATTGATCTGTTTTAGCCTGTTAATATCTATCTACCTACCCAAGTCTCTTCATATCTATCTACCCATCTATCTTTACGAGTCTCTCTATATCCATTCCATATGTTTCCGGTAACAGTTGTAATGGCTTGATATAACCGTAAGTTTTATACTAACAGTTTATTAATTTAGTATTTCATTTCTGAGATGTCAATATTTTTCTATTATTTCAAACTGTTGTTCACATCTTGGTTGATATAGATGTTATTATAGACAACGTTTCGATCAAGTACTCTGTTCATCATCAGGTGTCCAATCTCAGGACCTTATTGCTAACTCCTCACCTTGCTGGGGCAAAGCATAGGGTTGATAATGGAAACATTGTACTTCACTTTAGACCTTCCCTAGCACAGACCTGATGACTATTCCATATATTTCCTGTAACAGTTGTAATGACTTGATGTAACCGTTAGTTATATGCTAACAGTTTATTAATTTAATATTTCTTTTCTGAGATGTCACTATTCTTTTATTATTTCTGTTATTCTCATCTTGGTTGATGTAGATGTTTTTGTAAACACTACGATTCGACTAAGTACCCTCGGGTCATCGTCACTTTGTATGGTTGAAAAGTATTTTTCTCCAGCTTCACAATTCAAACAAACATGTGGCAAAACAAACTCAAGAAAAAAAAATACACAAGATGGGAGCTTCTCCTATATTCTCCACACTCACTAGAGCAGAGGTAGCCAAACTAGTTTAATGTAAGGAGTTGATAATATAAACACGGTACTTCATTTAAGACCTTCCTTAGCACAGAAGTGTGGACTATTCAATATCTTTCCTGTAACAATTGAACTGGCTTGATGTAACCGTTAGTTCTAAGCTAACAGTTTATTAATGTAGTATTTCATTTCTGAGATGTCAATATTTTTCTATTATTTTTGACTATTGCTCTCATCTTGGTTGATATAGATGTTTTTATACATGCAACAATTCAACCAAGTACCCTTGGGTCGTTGTCAATTTGTATGGTTGAAAAGGAACATACGGCAAAACAAACTCATGAAAAAAAATCCTCAAGATGGGAGATTCTTCTATAGTCTTCATTCTCACTAGCGTAGGGGTGGCCAATCTAGCTTAATGTAAGGATAGAGTTGATAATGTAAACAGTGTACTTCATTTAAGACCTTCCTTAGCACAGAACTAAGGACTGTTCAATATGTTTCCTGTAACTGGCTTGATGTAACCGTTAGTTATATGCTAGCAGGTTATTAATTTAGTATATCTTTTCTGAGATGAGTTATTAGCAACATTCTTGTATTATTTTGAACTATTGTTTACATCTTGGTTGATATAGATATTATTATAGACACATTTCAATCAAGTACCTTCTGGCCATTATGTAGGTTATCTGTTAATTAGTGTTGTCTGTCTATATGATACTAGTTATTATTCGTTCCTGCTGAACTAGTGTTCCACTATCTGATCCAGTGAGGACTGGACAGGGTGTCAGCTTACCTGATGGTAAGTGGGTCTCTGATGGAGTGACCCCTATAGCAAATAAAAAAGAAATAAAGAAACAAACACAGACACTTGCTTTAATGCTAAAAAGAAATAAGACTTTATAAAAGTCGTCTGCACACTATCAGTTACTAAAGTCCAGTGTGAGAGGACATTTTCAAAGCTAAAGATGATAAAGACAAGGTTAAGAAATTTGCTGCCTGAGGAGAATTTGGAATCATACATGTTGCTATCCATTGAAAAGGAATTGTTGGATGAATTGGATTCAGAAGCAATTATTGGCAGATTCATACAATCATCAATTGAACACATCATCCATCATCTTGCAGCCTCAGCCGAGATTGAACTCACCAATACTTTGATTGGTGTAGTTTATAATCTTGTCAAATAGCTGAATTCTTGATGCTTCACTAGGGCTATCAAGGGTGATTTTATCATGACACCAACACTAAAGGTTCAGAGAGACTCCATTCACCCTCCTCTAAGAGCAGGTTTGAATTCAGAGTTTTCCTTCTCCTAGACCATTTGCCATCCAAGGCTATAGAACCCAGTCTGTCCTGCTATTTACCCATAGATGGAGGGAGAAGAAAGAGGATTCACACCTTTCCCAAGGGTATTAGTGTAAGTGAATGTAATGTATTCGACTGGAATTCGAACTCGGCTCTCCGATTTCTCAATCCGCGTTGCTATCCATTACTCCACCGTGTCTCACAGATGATTGCTCTTAATACAGTGGACAGGATGCTATGCTCTATCATGCTTTTGAACTATCTAGTAATTTGTAAATTGTGCAGTAAACTATTTAAAAATATAAACCAATTACTTAAAATTTTAAAAAATAGAAAAAATTCAATTTCTGTATTTACATTTCGTAATATGTACAGTACATGTACGAAGAAATATACACTTTTCTTTTCTACAAAAATTTTAATTGCACTCTGTTTTTGAAAATTTTATTTATTTATTATAAAAGTTAAATCATACTACTGTAGTTGTGGCAACCATTATTTTGCAACCCAGTCTGTCTCTGATCTGATCCAGGAATTGGACTCATGAGCACTAGATGATTTTATTTACATTATTCGGACTATTGTCCTCATCTTTGTTGCCATATTTATTACGTTTTGGCCATTGTATGCTCTGGCCTTCATAAGGTTGGAATGTCGAACTGAACCCTTTATTTCGCTCACTGGGGTAGACTGTTCTAGTTCCAACTGCCATGTCTAATTATCAGTTATCTCCTGTTAATTCCCCTGTCAAAGTTCTCCACTGCCTTAACCAGATACTGAACTCATACTCTTTGGGTTTTGTCACTGGATCTAACTAACGCCTTTATACACTGTGCCATGAGGATATCTGTGTGTGAATTTCCGGGTATTATAAACCTAATGTCTTCAGCAACCATTTTTTACCAGTGTTCATATTGCAATTTTTGCTGTTACCATTGCATGCTTTTGCCAGAGCTCATATTGCAACTAGAATTGTCTACCCCAGTGAGCAAAATAAAGGGTTCGGTTCGACATTCCAACCACCTGAAGAAGGCTGGAGCATACAACAGCCGAAACATTGTGATAAATATGGCAACTAAGATGAGGACAATAGTCCGAATAATGTAAATAGTGTACATAATACCTCATCTCAGAAATATAGACAGATACTGAAGGGCCGAAACGTAATAAATATGGCGACAAAGATGACGACAATAGTCCAAATAATGTAAATAGTGCACATAATACCTCATCTCAGAAATACAGACAGATACTAGGTGACTTTATTTGTAAAAATGTAAAGAAAATGCAGTTTTAAATTTTGCCACGATTATTGGAAATCTGTTTTCTATATTATAATGATAACAAATCACAAATGACGCTAAACAATTCTTAACCATTTATTCTTTTTAGGAGACAAATACACAAAGTAAGTATCCATTAATAACACCAGTTGTTAATTTTTCTAGATATAATCCCTGTTTATATATTACATAATACTTTTGGGACACTGTTGTACCATTCCTAAAAAAAACTGTTTAAATTATAGAATTCAGGCTCCAGGGAAAAAAGCTGCCGAAAATAAAATTAAAAATAACATTAAATACTTGCAGATGCAGGAGAAAACAGCACACAAATTATAAGAATTTTCAATCAAGCAATGCAGGTTCAAGTAAATTTGAATACCTTCAAATTTGTTTTCTCCTAAAAACACAAATATGAGCTGTGGTCAGTCAACTCAAAAAAAAACGCTTGCTAACACAAATTTATGCCACCTACAATGTTATTGTGAATTTTTAGGAAAGTATGAAAATTGTATATAGACAAGGGGACCCCATATCATAGATTAGTGTGTGTGTGTGTGTGGGGGGGGTGACCCTTGAACTGAGTTTGTCATTTACTAAAATAATTGAACTTTACATCAAACGCTTCAAATAATAGTATTGTTTATTACTTATGAAGAAAACAAACATCAATTTATAACTTTATCAATAAAACTGGCTGATTACATTCAATGCTTTGAAGACCAAGGTAGTTACATTCTATCATTGCCTATCTGACTCCGGACTACAACTAATCAGGATAGACAGAGGTCCTCTCGCGGAAGCACCATGCCTTGAAAGACTGTTGGGCCACAAAATCAGACGCAAACTCAAGTGGAATTCTTACATACGATCCATTGCTAAAGATATAGGTAAAATCGTCAGCTCTCTGTACCACTCCAGTAAGTACCTGACTCTTCATCTATATTTACATGAGCCAGGTAAGGCCAAAAATATTTGGGTGAGAGATGCCCCGACCTTACTCTCCAGCCTTGATAGAGTTCAAAAGCCTCTCCGAGCCCTTGTGGGTGACGAATTATACTCCACCTTTCAACCTCTCTCTCCCACAGGCAGGATGTGGCAAGTCTCTCGCTGCTCTATTGCTACTTCCACGGAAAATGCTCGGACGAACTACATTCCCTGGTCCCGCCAAGTCAAACTTTCACAGCAAGAACACACCATGCCACTGTAGCAAACCATCTACATTCCCTTCATAATCCATTGGTGAGATGCAAGTTCTACTCCAGCAGCTTCTTATTGCAAACAACTGTCCTATGAAACTGACTCCCAACAGGATGTTTTCACGATCACTACAATCTTAATCTTTTAG